AAGTAAATAAAATCCCTATTTTAAATGTTATATTTGACATGCAAGTTGGTCACCAAGAAGCGGGGACAAGAGAAAAATACCATTTTAGGGGATGTTCGAGAGCTATTTGATAATTTATAATATTTGAAACCACTTTTTCTACAACTTTAAATACATTTTGTCCCAAGACAAGTATGTTTAACACAACAAGTGCATGTTTTAGCATTTTGGGCATGGATTATTAGATTTTTTATATGGGGGACATGAAATATCCTCCAATTCTGGAATGACCCGTAAAACTGTATTTCCTGCGCACACTGAGCTCTGATTGGTCAGCAGGCGGTGCTTTCACTGATGCCCCGGCCATACGAGGACGAAAACGACTAAACGCATAGGATTCACGCAAACGCAATCGCAAAAAAGCTTCCGTCCACACGCAATCATCCGGATAGTGTCTGTCCACACGAGACAGCTCCGTTTAGCTCCAACCGCTGGAGAAGCTGCAGTACATATGCAGGAGCCTGTACGTGGCGCTGTAACTTCCTCCACAAAAGCAGCGAAGAAGCATGGTTGTCATGGTTGCCCTTCTGTCTATTCTCCGCGGTGGGGGCCGAGGGAACCGGGCAGAGTTTTTCGCCAGTCAACGTGTATTAAAGTTTAAATCTTCCGACAAAATTATAAAAGTGCCGGTCAAAGGTCTTCTTTGTTATTTATTGAGCTATAAAACAAATGAATAACGACTCTATATAATATATAAAATACATGGAGCCTCTCTTAGCTCCGGAATCCGGTTCGTTTCAAGCACCAAACAATTGTCCGGCCAGAGCAAAAGCACCACATACGTCACGCTTACGTCGAGGCGGGGGCAGGGGCAGAGACAGATCAACTCCTGAACAACAACAAAAAGCCCGTGTTTTATCCAGTTTGTACACAACGATGGAGAAACTTAACAAGAGTTTCAGTGTTTCTGCCATAGACTGTATATATAAAGGTTTCTGCTCATGGTGAAGCAACGTGTCTACGTGTTAAGGTGGAACCTGAGCATTCACGTTGATCACCTCTCATTATAACTCATTATAAATCTATAAAACTATAAATATTAAACTTTACTTCACGTGTTCATTTGAGAACAGCTGTTACATACCTGGGTGAAGGTTACAGTTCATTTAAATGAAAGATACAACGTTACTCCACACTCATGGTTCAGTCCACCTTAAGAAATAAGACCGACCTCGGAAGCAGTTGTGTTTTAAAAAAACCTTTATTGACACGAGTACACTTTTTTATAAGAATATAACTAAACCACAGAAATGACTCCGGAAAAGCTGCAGATAGAGCCATAAGAAATGAATGCAACTGATTTCATCCGCGCGGTTTGGCTTTATGAAGCAGGCACGCAAACGGTTACGTCATTACGCAAACGATGACGCAACGACGCATTACCAGTCGGACTCTGGGCGGTGTGAAAAGAGCCAGAGCTAAACCGAAGAACTGGTTCTGAACCTGAAAAGCTCTAGCACGGAGCTTGAACCGGAGTTGCGTTGGTGTGAATGAGGTAATAATGTATCATATATTTCCATATCTGAGTCAACTTATTGAGCCGTATCTGGCCGTGCAACACTCACAGTGTCACATACTGTATGCAGAAGTATTATTTTAAGCAACACATTAAGTTGACGTAACACTCGAGTCAAATGTAATTAAAGTCAGATCCACGACTAGTGTTTTAGACGGGGCAGTGATATCATACACCTGTTAATGTAGCATTCAAACACTTTTTCTTTTACCAGCTGTATTCACCTTGCAGGTGCAACTATGTGGCTTTTATCCTGGATAAAGTGTTTAAGTCATGGATGTTTAAAGTTTAACTTCTTCATATTTGTCTAATATTGTTCACTTTTCATTCAGGAAGTATGACGCTGCGCTGTCAGTACGCTTCTCCATGTTTGTGATTGGTCAAATGTTGCTAACCTTTCATGTGAACGCCCACTCAGCCGGACAGAGAAATCCCGGCTTGAGTTACCGAGTTGATAACCAGCGTCGTAGGACCGTTTAGCGAGATCGTGTTTGTTTTGGATTAGGTAAACCGGGTAACTCAAACATATCCAGGGTCTGTTGAACTGGATTCGTAGTACAGGCCTCAGGTCGGATGTGGGTGGAGGATATCCTTTTATTCTGGACAGTATGTGTATTTATGGCAGATATTTGGGAGAGGGTGCATGTCGGCCTATTAAAATAAGAAAACAAGTATGAACTGTTTTTTATTTTTTGCACACATTTTTGTACCGTGCAACTGAAATCTATGGTCACAAGTGTCATTTTCCCCAACTTAAATGCTGCTACATTCATTATTTCCATATTAATAGAGGGTATGGGAGCTTAAGCCCTGAGCCTTTTTGTCAGGTCTCAGGCTCGAAAATGACATTCCCAGAACAAATGACCATATCTTCCCTTCTAAAAGGGTTAAATTAATAATCTTTTTTCTCAAAGCAAGGTTACATCTGTGAGTTGGATGAAGAAGTGTCAGAATCAATATAGATGTTTTTATTTTAAAGTAAATTCAGATTGAACACAGTAAAAATATGTAAATTATAGTGTCCGTCCAAAATAAAATAAATAGTGAAAACCACCCTTGAATGATGGGATGGTAGACTAAAAGCTTTAGGAATCCAAACTACAACATATAATAAGTACCCTGTATGAAGATTGATGCAAAACAAGTGAAATTTGACCTTTTTAGAGAGATTTAGCAAAAAACAGCAACTTCTGGGGTCATTTGGGTGGATTTTCCTATCTCTGGCGCCACTTGGTCGATTTTGATGATTGACATCTCTTTTTAACCGCTAGAGCCAATGGAATCGAGGGGAACTCCCACATACACACACACATTACCAAATAAGGAGTGAGAGTGACGCATAGCCAAAACCGGAAGCTGCGATAACTCTGGTGGCTACCATTAGCAGCTAACTTTTACTCTCCGATTTTTACATAAAAATGGAATTATGGATTATAAATAATTTTTTCAAAGCGACAGACACATTCAATTAACCTATGGATTAACCCTCAGCCGCGTTTTTTCTCGTTTTAATGCCATTGAACACGACTTTTGATCAGAATAACAGCTAAGGTGAGACGATGTCCCGTTTTTGCTCCGTAATGCTACGTGTTGTGATGTCTGTGTTTGCTTCCCCTGTCGCGAGTGCTGATCGCTCAGTGATGATACTATACCTATATAATCTGTGGAGTCTCATCTTTAATCGGATATCTTGTATGTGCAGTTACGATAAGTAATAAGGGTATCTTTGTCTTGAGTTCTGTGCCAAAGTGCGTTAGCATTTTTTCGCTCAGGGGTCATTTAGATGCTTCTTGAGACTTGTGTTTTGTTTTGGTAAAAATGGTTTGTATTATCAGTTAGCTGAGATTCTTCCGGTTAATCTGGTATAACACATTAATAGGTTTTTAAATATTAAGATGCCCTGAGACACAGTGTCGTGAAAAAGAAAAAAAAGACCCGCCGAAGGGGTCTTTGGGGCTTAACAGCAGCAAAGCTCTAATAAATCCACTTTTCAGAAAAAGCAGACGATATAGTAGCATAGATAGTAACTAAATGGGGATAGGCGAAAATAGTCAAGTATTTGGCTGATAAACAGCAGGAAAAGATGCAATTAAGTCATCTTTAAAAAAGGTATAAACTACTACACTGCAAACAGGAAAACACGAGCACACACAGATATGTCTAAGTTGTTGTGGTGGGAGTTTGTGACACTGTGCATTGAACTTAAATAGCTCTTATGTGCATGAAGGTTGCTAAATGAAATACAAAATCATTTCAATGTTAAAAAGAATGTGTCGTCCTTCATCATCCACCCCTCACTTCCTCCCAGTCTTCACTCTTTCCCTTATGTCCTATTCTTCCTCCCTGTGCTCGCCTTTCTCCCCCTCGCCTCTTTTCCTCCCCTCTCCATCTTGACACAGTGCACTGAGCCTAATCGTGGATAATTGGGTGGGAGGGGCAGTGGGCCGGCCCTGCCTTTGTGTGCAAAGGGCAAGTGGTCAAGTTAATGGGGCCCTTGTGTGGAGCAGGGAGCACTCTGTCTCTCTTTCTCTCTGTTCGATCACTCACTCGGCCAGTCAATCTCAGACTCTCAGTCAGCTTCTCTTTTCTTTCACGGCTGAAGCTTTTTTCCCCGCTGCTTCGATCTAGTTTCACCTAATTTCCAGCGGCCTCACTTCTCCTCTACCTAGCAGCCTTTCAATGTGTCCCATTTATTTTCTCTCCTCCTCTTCTTGTCTTTTTCAGCTTTTTTCTCTTTCTCTATGCAGCTTTTCCCATCTCTTCTCTCTGTCTATCTAGCAAAGTATTGGGGAGGAGAGAACAGACCTCTTTAAAATATCAAAAGACAGATCAGGAGGCTTCTGCAGTCCCTCCCTTTCTCCCAACTCTCACTCCTTCTGACTGATAAACAGAAGAGTGAGCCTGCAGGATTAGCTGCTGTGTACTGCCTTCCCTCCCTCCTTTATCCCGCTCTCTTTTCTTCCTGTGGAGGGGTAGACTGTTGACTGGGCTTGATATGTGTGTGTGTGTGTGTGTGTGTGTGTGTGTGTGTGTGTGTGTGTGTGTGTGTGTGTGTTACCTTGTCTGGCACCAGCTTAGCCTGCAGGAGGCCATTGTGTTTGAAACACAGGCCACAGCCGATCAGGACCCAAAGGAAACTTTATTATTTGTGAACATTTAACACTGAATTGTTAATAATAGAACACACACTCATGTTTAAACAAGCAGCTTTGTCAATCAGCTCCATGAAATAAGCCTTATAATAATCATTACAGAATATCTAATAACAACATTTGGACGGAGAATATATGGGGTCTTTTTTGTTATTGTGAAAAGTAATTCAATTTATTTGTAAAAATAAAAATGCTTTTGCTATTGTGTTCAACGCTGTAGCGAAATGTGTTAAATGTTGCTTTGTAAATCTTCTGAATCAATTTAAAAAGGAAAAAAAGAATAAAAGCCCATATTTCTTGAAGAACATTTCTTTATTTTCATTTTTTCACAAAAAACACACCCACCCATAGCCAGCAAATCACAACATTCATTACCCATTGATTACAGTGAAGCAGAGATAATCTGATATACTGAAAGAAGAAACTCACTGTCGGCCATGTCCACACTTAAGAGGATACATGACAAATATTTAATTAAGAATACTTGTTTGTGTTTCTTTTGTCATACCCTCAGAACAATACAAATCACAAGATAATTCTAAATCAATATTTAATAAGTATTTGAAATTTGAGTGTCCTTATGCAGTGAAATGCTACAGAAAAAGCTCCAACTTAAGTCCATTTTACAGTTCCTTATAGTTCTGTTTTTGGTGGTCCATTTAAAAAGATACATTCAGAATGGTTAGAAGTACTCCAATTCAAAGGTGATCTGGATTAGTGTGGACATGCCCTGCAAATGACCAACAGATCTGTTTGATAACTCAAATCATAGCAGAACAACAGAAACATCCCACAACACATACATCTGTTGGAATAAAACATTCCTGTGTGATGTTACCCATGGTAATACTCTGCTGCAGCACTCTCTCTGAATAACACTGACTGTCAGTGTTTCCTGCTGATGTCACAGTGAGAAGTGTCCGCGCACACAGCACGAATATCACGACAAGAAGTGACCAAATCACAGAGTAAAAAACGAGAAGCCACTGCAAATCATGGGTGCACCCGGTGAACACTTTGCCAAAAATAGAGGCAGTAATGTTGCAAGAAGCAGCAACGCAGAGCGGAGAACAGTGTTGCAAAATGACCTCACAGTCAGTAGTGGTGACGTCACACTACACAGTGATGAAGTCACCGTGGATGGTGTTAGCCCGCAGATATCAAAGGTACACAGCAAAATGCAATACAGATACAAATGTAATTAAACACACTTTGCAATAGGAACATTTCTGCATTGCAAGTCCTCAAAGCATTGAGACCACTGATAAAGCTGACTTCATTTACTTTTCTGAGTACACACAGGCAATACCTCCCATATCTGAAGGTGGATTATTTTATTCAACATGAGGGGTGTACACAGCAGCCATGGGGAGATACTGCATAGCTTCTTGGCTGTTGCATACAGCAATGGATCACAGTGAAAAATGGAAAACACTTTACTAGTGATAGGTACAACTTTAGGCCACTGGACCACTGACACTTGGCGTTTCTTTAATACCACAAGAAACGGCTGAATACATGGAAAAAGACCTGAGTAAACTTGTGCTGATAGATAATAAAACCAACAGACAATGGAAAAGCAATAGTTCGGACATGTGTGAACGTTTTTACTCTTGAGGCTATAAAGAGAGTATTTGACTTTCAAGAACTAAGGTTACATATAGGTAATCAATTTGAAATCAAAATCTAACCCTGGATGTCCACTGGATGTTCAAGCAGTGTGTTTTGAAGCAGCAGTAGTAGTAACTTTGTGGTAACATATGCTTTGTTTTGTTTTAGCTACCTTAGCTTTCTAAGAAATTGTAGCATTCAGACTTATTCCGAGTGGTGACATAACAAAAGCAAGACAAACAGTTTTGCTGTGAATATGTAAAGACAAATAAAATACCATAACAATATGAATAAAGGCATTGCTTACATTTAAAAGTCAATGCAGCACTTCATAGATCCGTTGAGCATGAACTTTGGTGCCACTGTCATGGAGGCAGTGGCACAGCAGCGTGATGGCAGCAGACACTCAGTGGACATCGGGGGTAAGAGACCATTAAGTGGTCTGCAAAGTAATCCTGCTCTGTACAACATACCATATAACCTTCAATCTATTGCACAGTATTGGGGTCAGTATTCAATAAATGCAAGTATTAGGAGTGATAACAACATTTGTGCATGTTTTCTCTCCTGGTCGCTTTTCAAACACTCACACTTCCTGAAAGATTCAGACTAATACGAGCTGCTGCCACATTAATTGATTGTTGCTTGCTAAGTCACTTTAAAGAGCGAAATGTTTGTGAGTGAATAGATATAGCTGTGTAAAATGTAATTACAATGTTATGTTACTTGTTATATGCATGACGAAATGTTCTTCTACTTTGCAAGCTGTAGCTCCCAGGCAGCAACAACGTCTGATGGTGCTGTAATATGTTAATGTACTGTTGTAAGTAATGCACAAAAGAAGTTCTTAATACTGACCTCTGACTGGGATGAATGAGTTGTATTAGAAGAAATGAAAGCGGGGGAAGAAGGGAACAAAGAGAAATGGAGGAAACACAAAGGGAGCTGTGAGCTGCTCCACAGTCTGTGATAGTTAATGAATTAGAGCTGGCCTCCACGCTGGGGGCAGGAACACAGTGGAATAGGTTAATACGGACAGGTTAAAGAGGGCCGACTGACGGAGGAAATCTCTATGTAACCGACTGTTAACTTACCTAACGACTGACTGGCTTGTTGGCTGGAATGATAACAGGATTACTGGCTGATTAAATACCATAATAGGTAAATTAACAGGCTGGTTACTGACGACTGTTTGGCAATTAACTTCTCTAGAAGGTTGATTAACTTACAGGAGCTGATTTCATGACTATTTTGGAGACTGATAGTAATTTATTTGGCATATGGCAGAGGGTTCAAACATACTAGGTTAGAATCTATATCTGCCTCTCCATTCTTCCTCTTCAGCACGCTCAAATATTCTCCTAAGCCATGCATTACCTGATAATGAATCCTCTCAGTGGCCAGGTTCAATTTGGAAACATTTCTTAAATATGTCACTTAACACTTGATATTGAGACTAATAACCTTACTGTATTTGAATACGGCTCTTTCTTGGATCCCTTGTGGTTGTTGACATGACTCTATGTTGAATATATAAAAGCATGTGGAGCGGAGCGCTTGTTTTGGTTTACTGAGTGTGGATGACAGGTTGAAGTCCTTTGGTCAAGGTGATGAGGAGAGGATAGTGGATGTTCTCATCGTATGCGTCTTTCCCCTCCGTCAGCATCTGCAAAATACAACAGGAAAATATTTACTAAAGTTGCTACAAAAAGTATTAATCCGTTATTTCAGCTTGGTGGATCAACCTAATCAACATTTAGGGGATTTCCTAGTTGACTAGTGATTTAAGAAGCAGACTTTCGCATTAGCTAAAGTCACTTCACTGTCACTATTAAAATTAAGAACAAAATGCAAAACATTTGTATTGTGTATTATGTATTTCTTCTTAATGTTCTTGTTCTTTTATGTGAAGCTTAACATATACAATTCCAGTCAATTAAATCATACTTTCAACATGACAGATCAAAAAGTGATCAAAAGCAAATAGTATGAAATAAAATGACAGAATTATATCAAAAACTGTAAAAAAAATAAATAAATGTAGAAGAAAAATGACAATATAAAAAATATATATAATTATTGTTAGTCCTAGTTTGTCGTTTTCTGGCACTGATATGTGGATTAAATGTCCTCAAAAAACAACAACTTTCCTACTGTAAGACCTTTAGGGAAAAACATTCAAATCTGCCATTTGAGAGTTGGCACTAGAGATTTATTTTACCCGTTTCCTTGAAAATATTTTACATTATAATTAGATTGATTTTAAATTGTTACAATTGTGCTATCCGTTCCTGCTCAAATGTGCATACCTCTACACTCACACACACTGTCTTTTAAACACACACACTTTGACACACCATGTGCTGCCCACTCGTTGCCCTTTTAAGCAGACTTGACAGTTTGGGCGTTCAGCAGCTAATCGACTCGCCCAGCGTCTGGCCAGATGATCAGAGACTAAAAGTGAGTTTAGTGGTTTTACTCATGTGAGAAGATAAGTGTATGTGATGTGAGAGCAGGACAGAGGAGAACTGTTTGAAAAAGTTTTTTCATAACAAATAAAGACTCAGACTGACCCCGAATTCACTCCCTTCATGGAAGTAATATGGAAGTGAACATCCATCTAAACCTTCATACATTATAAACTCAAATACTGCCTGTGTGCTGATTCCTTTACAAAGTATGCCATTTAGTGAAACACTGTCCCAACATCAAAATATGCAGACCAGCAAATAAGTTATTTTATTTTATTGCAGACTGGGTTACTTAAAAGCTGTATTAGGACAATGTTATAATAATATAACCGGATAGTGACTGTAAATGTGATGTGATATGATATTGTGTCTGCATGTAGTATGTATTAATGGTGATGTACAATGGGTAATGGTGCTTTGGACATTTGCAATAATCTGCGTATTTGAAGCTTCCTCTGGGATGTAGTTAGACTTTGTTCAGGCTGATATTAGCACTGCTTGAAAAAACCCAATCCCCTATTCATTACAATGAGAGCACTGTGTTTACACAGCGGGGGGCCGACACAGAGGACTCCAGCTGAAAAGTTAAGTTACAGAGCACATTTAAAAGAAAAAAACGAGTTGACCAAAGTTCTTTTAAAGGGGAATAAAAAAAAGATATAGAACCACATTTTGATATATAAATAAAAAATGATCATCTAATTAAAAAAGTTTAACCTCGCTCAACTTTTTCAATTCCTGGTTACTCTGGTTATTCCTGGTGATGACTTTATCATTATTATTTAATACTTTTAGTTTAGTTAGAAGTGTAAAAAAGGTGTAACAAGTGCTGGTCTTGAACATTGTCACAGAAAATACTTTTGTGTGATTTAAATGTTGACCTCACACACCTCTCATTTTCTCCTTTTCATACACTTGAAAACAAAAACAAAAAGTGAGACATTTTCACCTCAACACATCTCGATGCCTCTTTCTCATACTTATATAATTTGTTTGAATATGATCAAACTGCTGGTGTCTGCCTCTCCCTCCCTTTCCCCCCCCAGCGCCCTTCATGTGCGTTATCTTCCTGTTGCCATCCCTCCAGGCACCGGCCGGTGGTTGAACCTCTGACCCCCAGAGAGAGAGAGAGAGAGAGAGAGAGAGAGAGAGGGAGACAGAGAGAGGGAGAGAGCAGACGGCCCAGGGGGTGTTTGGGCGTGGAGGGGCAGCTGCCGGTGCTAAGCCAGCTATGGGGACCAAGGCCAGCATTCACATTCAAATTCTACCAGGCGGAAGGAGCAAGGAAGCGATAGATGGAGGGATGGAGGGTGAGGGGGGGGGCCTTAACGCGGCGAGGACCAAGAGCTCGCAGAGGTGAAAAGTTTAACAAGCAAAGCTGTTCCTCCTGATCGCAGGCTGCCTACTCAGCTTCATGGGTGGCTGGCTAAATCGGCTCTCAACGCGACCCCCCAGCCCCCCCCCCCCCCCACAATCTTTTCTCTTTTTCTTTCCAAGGTGCAAGTCATTTATTTTATTGCCACTTTCACCCAAGCTTCTCTCTCTCACTTCACCTCTCTATTTCTCTGCCTACTTCTTTTTTTACCCCCGCCCCGTTTATTCTTGCCTTGCTTGTGAGAGAAAGTGAACAAGGTGGAAAAAGAGAGAGAAGAAGGGGGGGGGGGGGGGGTATGAGACAAGGGAGGGGAAGGATGAACCGGATGTCTTGGGTCTCTCTCGGCAGGATTAGGAAACAGAGAATGAGGGATTGGCTGGATGGAGAGACGAGGAGGAAGGGATAGAAGGACAGGCTTGAATAAATAGAGAAGTGGGTCGTGATGTAGGAAATGGGAAGATAGAGGGGAGCAGAGGGAGGGAGAGAGGGTGAGGGAAGATATGTCAAAGAAAGGAGGGAGGGAGGACGGGGGTAGCCAGGCAGCTGAGGGGGGGAGAGAAAGAGAATGAAGGAGGGAAGGAGGCAGGGAAATGAGTGTGAGTGCATGGACACAGTGGGGAGACTATTTATGCATGTGAGGGAGACGGGGGATCTACACATGTGAACACACACTCTCTTGCATGTGTGTGTGTGTGTGTGTGTGTGTGTGTGTGTGTTTGAGAGAAATTAAAATTCATGACTCTCTTCACAACCATTTGAGTAACAAGATTAAGATGGCGGGTTAGGAAATAGCGCTGGCATTATCAGGCTGCTTGCAGTCCCTCCAGCTGCTTGCCTCTCTATTCCACAACAGTGGGGATAAGAGGATAACGCGCTAGCCCTGTCTGCCCGTCCCAGCACAAGACTCACACACACACACACACACTGACACACACACACACACACACACACACACACACACACACACACACACACACACACACACACACTGCCACTGCACATCGGGCCTGCCTGCTGTCTGCAATCCTTCGAGTGTGTTTGTGTCAGAGGGCGAAAGTGTGTATATGTTTGGAAAACTGCAGAGTAGCGAGCTGGGGGTCTTGAGATGATTTGTAAAAATACGGCTGAAAACACTCCCTGCTCTCGCTCTTTCTTTTCACACTAAGCAAACATTAAGACAGGCAGCATATTCCAAACAAAATCAAATCTGACATGTGTCGGATCTGGCACAGTGTGGGATGCCAGTATACTCACAGCTACTGGGGGAGCGTTTGTTTAACAGCATCTGTGCCAGATGGAGGAGCTTGTGAGTCGCACTGGGAGCATGAAAAGAAGTAAACTCGGCCTAAATTACAGATGTGGAAATATTTTGCTTGGCCGTGCACATATTTCAACAAGTTGGGATTGTAATTGGATTGTGCTGCTAGTTTGACAGAGTTTGGTGATAATTAAGCATTTTTATTTTGCAGTTTTTAGTAGTATCGTATCATATGATGGCATACGTTTTAAAAGCTCTCTCCATGCTAAGGATTCCAAACAAAATGCATTAGAAAAATACACATTTAAAGAGTTTGCTTAAGTTAACAACAAAACACAATTTGTTTATTGTTCATGAATTAAATTATTTGACATGCTATTTTGCTAAAAATGTGTCATACAGTTACATACTGATATCTTCAATAAAAGGGCCTTTCCTCCTAATATCTTGAAAACTATTTATTTTAAATCGTGGCTCTGAGCATATATTAATAATCCTTCATTTATTGCTTATTTTACAGCAGATTACAGTCTGTTAACTCTTAATATACATTTCCAGTAAGAAAAACATATAACAAATAACTGATAAAATAAATCAATTCTGATACAATTTACAAAAAAAAGTTTATCCGAATTTATTTTGAATAAAAGGCCATTATGGTAAAAGTTGTTTTAGTCTAACATTAAGTGGGCGTCTGCGTATAACTTAACGATGCTAACAGCTAGAATTTGTAGTGTTAAGAAAAATAGTACAGTTCCAGTTTTTCCTCAAAACACCTGCTTTTGGTCTTTGATTGTTGGTGAAAGAAAATCCATAGTGTGTGTTCCGCTGCCGGTTCTGATATGCATTTTTCTTGTATGCTGGTCCACCCATTGAAAGTAAATATAGCTGAAGAAAAGCTAATCTGAAGTGCAAATGAGTAGCAGCTGCTCATTTGGATGTGCATGTGTGTGCACAGTAGTAGTGTATGTTTCACTGTGATATCATCATGAGGTGTGTGTGTTTGTGTGTAATGTCTGGCCAATACACTGTCTGAGTGATGTCTGGTCTGTGCGGGATTGTGATATAGCTGGTTTCCAAGCTGTGTGTGCGTGTGTGTGTGTGTGTGAGTGTGTGTAGAATGGTCAGTCAGGCCCATACAAGCACACACACACAAAACCACACAGGGGTTGTTCAGAGTGTTCATCAGAAGATAAGCAGAGGAGACTTAATCACCTTCAGATGTGAGGGGGGCACTTCAACTTGTCCTCATATCCACATGCAGCACCTGACCCCACTGTGTGTGTGTGTGTGTGTGTGTGTGTGTGTGTGTGTGTGTGTGTGTGTGTGTGTGTGTGTGTGTGTGTGTGTGTGTGTGTGTGTGTGTGTGTGTGTGTGTGTGTGTGTGTGTGTGTGTGTGTGTGTGTGTGTGTGTGTGATGCAGATGGAAGTGTGCATTTCAAGAAAGAGCTGCATGGTGTGATAGTCCCTGGGCATGGCATGTCAAAGTAAAGGAAGAAATACCAGCATAATTTCAGGGTTTTTTTCTCAATTCAATGCATTTGAGTCTGAATGTGTGTGTTGAAGCAACTCTCATCACTAAAATAGGCCTGAGTGGCAATCTTCCCAAGCGGGTGAGGTGCTGAACCATTAGTATTATTCAATGAGCGTTTACTGTGGCCTTGAGGCAATTCACCCCGCAGCATTTCAAAGTTGCATTTATTTTACATGTAGGCAGCATCCACTTTAATCTTACTGAAGCTCCTTCTTTCTTTCTGTCCCACTTATATTCTTTATTTACTCTTTTCCACCCTTCCTGCATTTTTCTTTTGGAATCCCTGGTTTTGATTATTTTTAAGAAATGTGTTTCTTTTTTTCTAAAATAACTTGTGCTTCTCCCACTCCACCTAAGGCCAAAACCACCTACTGTGTGTGCTTAGTATCTGAAGAGCCATTTCTCACATATTGAATGAACTTTACAAGTGTTATCCCATGTATTCATGTTCAAACACTTATCTGTGTTTTCTGTTCAGAAGTCTATATATTCTACCCCTGATCTGACCTATTCGTAAAGCAACTGTCTGTGTGCGTCCATGTTTAAACTAGGAGGGAAAACTGAACAAAACATATAGCTTTATTTTGTTCTTACATACCAAGTTTAAAATTCAGCAAAAAATATATTTATATACAACTTTATTTGATTCAACAAATACATCAGATTCTTGCCCAGATTACATTCCCTGATAATATTTCTACCAGTCCAGGAAATGGGATGTTTTTGTATTGTACACATTTGGAAAGTGCACAGAGGAGGCCGGGGTGGATGAGTGAGTTTAAAGAGGCCCTATTATGCTTTTGGGGGTTTTCCCTTTCCTGTAGTGTGTTGTATAGGTTTATGAGGTTGGATATCAGAATTTAAATACAGCACGTTTTCAGGATACTAAATTACCTTTTTACGAATAGGAAAGATGATGGCTTTGGTTAAATATTAAATGATTAATGTCGTGTTGGTAACCAAGACCATGATCTTTCCCAGCCCTTAACCAAGTGCTTTTATTGGCCTAAACATAACCATACAAATATAAACTGTATTTTCTAGGAGAGAATATTACAACAATTGACATACAATGTAATAAACTGACAATTTCCATGTGCTTTAAAAGCTTACCTGGTTGGCATTACATTCCTTATCAAAATGTTTGCAGCTGCACGATATCTGTATTAACATAACTTTAACAGCATCTGCACAAACTAGTGACAGACACTACAAATGCCATTGGCCTGGATGTACACATGCGTATTGGTGCGTGTTTGATATAGACTTGACTCACTGTAAGAAGAAGTGGAGGCTAAATATGGATTGGGACAACTTGATCTGAGCCTGCGTTAAACCTGAGTCAGTTAATGTGTGCTCCCTGTAAATGTGGTCTGAAAGGGTACATTAGATACTGTATATATAATGTGTGAGGGACTGCGATGCTGAATTTAGTGACGGACAAATAGTTAAGTGAGAAGGAGTGAGATTTTCCTCGCTGAGGTTCAGGCCACTTTAACAGGCACTTTAATGACCGGTCTGTCCAATTGTCCCACCGGTGATGCTGTCCTGTTCTTCTGTAGCTGTGTGTGTAATGGAGTTAACAGCTGGACACCACTTCTTCTAACAAGGCCTACTCATGTGCTTTCTGTCACTCCTTTTCTCTCTCCCTGCCCTCCTCTCTCCTTCCCTCTCTCTAACTCCCTCGCGGTGCCACGTGAAGGCAGCCTGTTCTAGCCCCGGTGTGTCTCACAAAGTGTCTCTAAACATCAAACGCTAATCCCACATTTTTTATTAAAGCTGTGTGAGCATTACACGACCTGGATTCGTGGTGGTCTCTTTTTACATTGAATATATATTATTGAACTGTGTTAACCATCCAATTCCGTTTTTTATACAAAAAAGCACGTTGTTGGACTCTTTAAAAGTTAATTCCAAGTTAATAAGAGGCTTCCTCACACACTAAAAGCTGGATCTATCCCTTCATTTCAATCCATACTACTGTTGTGAGAAGATATACTTAAAACACAAACAGTTTAAGGATCCTGGATTCTTGTTTCTAAGTATATGTTATCAATGATGTTCTTTTGATTGTTTATGTTGAAGTTGTATTTAATCTTTTTTTGTCTTCACACTCAACATATATTGTCAGTCTGTCTTTCCTTGGAGAGTGATCCCTCCTCTGTTGCTCTCCCAGACATTTCCTTTTTTTGCCATTAACTGTGATTTTTGGGATTATTACTTTGTCTGCTGCTAGGAGGCTAAGGACATATACTGCACACACTTTAAATCCCTCTGAGACAAAGTTGTGATATTGGATAAATAAAGAACATTTGATTGATTGACTAATGTCGTTTATAAGACATGTATCCACACCCCCTGCCTGCCGACTTTAATAGCATCTGCTTTGAACCAGTACTCATCTCTTAACATAAAAACAACTTATTCAAATGTTTTTTATAATGGGATAGTGTTTTGGAGTCAGGCTTGTCTAAGTTTCTCTCAGTTTTTTTGGATTCTCTTCCTACCTTCAAGTGAACATCCCAGACCTGAGCGTCGTACTGCTGGTGTTGGGAGGCGCAGAGTCCGGCCTGCTGGGCCAGTTGACAAAACAGTCTCAGAGTTTGACCTCGCAGCGGAGCAAACACCAATGCTGTGCCCTGAAAACAAAATGAGAGGAGGGTGAGTGCTTTGGAAAGTGGATATAATGGTAAGACACACGTATTTTAACGCCTAATTTCTCAAAACATTTGTTATTTAGCTTTACACAAACACATAGTTGCCAGTCTCTTTACTTTGATCTTTACCAGGTGCACGTTATGAGATAAACCAACAAAATTAAGTTCTTCTAACTCCAGAATTGTGAACACACATTCGTCACATGTATATGACTATGCGTGTGTGTGTGTGTGAGTGTGAGTGTGAGTGTGAGTGTGAGTGTGTGTGTGTGTGTGTGTGTGTGTGAGTGTGTGAGTGTGTGTGTGTGACAAAGACAGAACAACAGTTTGTATGAGCACATGCATCACAGACATCCTGCGAATACTAAGAGGATTACTAACAAGTTCTACGTTTCTTTGAAATCCTTCATCTTTCAGTTGTACTTCCTGTTGATCATGTTATTATTGTTTTAATTGAATTAAAGAGGGATGCCATCACAAACACACATACAGCAAGTACACACACTATGAAACACAAATGAACACAAAGAACAAGATCACAATGCATGACGGATTTTTCATCTGTATATCCAGTTGCATTTCCCCCCTAAACCCCCGTACCCTAAAAACACAGCAAAAGCAAACAAACAACTCCTCCCAGCACTAATCAGCTGATTAAGGGGATCCAGCCCACCGGATGGACCACCTTTGTCAGAAACAACAAATTAGTGCCATTAGATGGGAGAGTTAATTGCTTTGTTAATTGCTTAATCAGCTTAGCAAATTATTAAATATTTGGCAAGCTTGTTGTGGCAGAGACAGTCTGATGGCCGACACTCAAATCATATTAGCCCCTGAATTATCTCCACTGGATTAAAGAGGGAGAGACATGAAGAGAGACTTAACACACAGATGTACAACAATGGCCAGATGTCATGTCTGTCACTCGGCAAAACAGCAGCTTCGGCATTCAACTGCAACTGAGACACACGTTGGGTTTTACTGTGCATGTCACTGGGGAGGGAAACGCTATATGGAGATACCTTTGTCTTAATATCATTCATGTGAACAGATCGACATCGGTGTTAAAGTGTATAATCTGAAAATGTAAAACAACTTTGCGATGTGCAAAAAAAGATTTGTGAACTTGTAACAAATATTAAGTTGATTCAAAACGGAGCTACACAAATTCTACTTAAAAAATAGGTTACTATATTAAATTGTAAGTGGAAAGCATTTGTGACTATCTTTCTGACATTTACAACTTTTGATCAGGCGTTTGTGAATCCGGTTTTCTTCGACGCTTGTGGATTTTACGCACCCAGAGTTTAGAGAAAAACTATTTGAACAAAAATCTACCCACAAAACTCGGCCATTTTCCAATAGCACGTGATGGCCTGCTGATGGCACGGTTCAGCATTTCAAAATAAGAGCATGATAATTCCATACGCGTGTCACGGCAGGCAACAACCTGAATGTAATCATAATAATTATAACATAATCCTTTTTGTCTTTCCAGTTACATCTGCTGTTTGTAAATGTTATAACAAATAGATTAAAGGCTTAGTTCACCTATATTCTCAACATATTTCCTCACTTATCTATCGTAAAACTAACCAAGTTGATAGTTATGGTTTTATATGTCCCATCCTAATGAAATACAGGGGATAGGAAATGTATTTAAGGTACTGAAGGTATTTCAAAATGTCTATCTTTTTCTGTATAGTGTGTTGGATTATTGACAAAACATCAGGTCAGCAGTTCTGATAGGGACTATTTCTAAACAGTGTTTATGAAGCTCATTTCAGGTTGTTGTTTAATTTGGACTGACATTTGTTTTTCATTGGGTTGAACTGGCCCTTGGTGCTTTTAACCTGCATGTTTCTATTTCACCAAACAAAATCCATCTTAATAAAGAGATATGTATCTTTCCCTCAGCTACATTTCACATCTCTCCTCCCTCCTTCTGTCCTTCCATCTTTTCTTTTCATCTCTCCCCTCCTCTTCTCCATATCTCCCTCCCTAGAGTGCAGTTTTCACCTGTTTTTCATAAACAGATATTCCCTATACCCGTCTGGCCTCTTTTCTTAAAACGCAGCCCTCTTCCCTCAGATGAATAGAAACCTCAACCCTATCTCTTCCAGCCTTTTGCTTTCCCCCCCCATTTGCTTTGGCTGTCACAGCGTGGGGTCTTATCGCGAGGCCAAAAGAGAAGTTGCCTCGGATTTATGATTAAGGGAAGGCAGAAGAGAGAGAGCCGGAGATCAGAGCGATGCATTCAAGTTGCTCATAATAAGCATTAAAGCATTACATGATATTAATCCTGTCAGCCTATTAATGTGTATGGGCTTTTGGGGTGAGGCCTAATTATGATTGAGAAGAATGCGTGGTGATTTAAAGGAAGGGGATCAGCAGAGATATGTACATTAGACACACACACACACACACACACACACACACACACACACACACACACACCACCACACACACACACACACACACACACACACCACACACACACACACACACACCACACACACACACACACACACACACACGACACACACACACACACACACACACACACACACACACACACACACACACACACACACACACACACACACACACACACACACACACACACACACACACACACACACACACACACACACACACACACACACACACCACACACACACACACACACACACACACACAACTTACATTGGGTTTCAGTAATCTTCTTATGGCCTCAACCAGGCAGGCTCTGTACTGGTCGAGGAACAAACTGAGGGAAGAGGGAGACTCAGGTTAGAATTCTGCATTCCTGTGATAGCAGCTGCAGATAAAGCACCAGGCTATTTATTTTTCTTTTCTTCACAAATAAATCCACCAACAAGAAGAAGGGAAAAACAATTTGCATGAGTAAGATGCTCTCCCTTTTTGTTTACGTTGGAGTTTCCGTGTGTATTCACCTCGGCCTGTTGTCGAGGCACGGATGGGAATGCAGAACATCAGAAAATCCAACGTGCACAGATACCATCGCCTACAGTAAACACACACGTGTGCGCATGCAAGCGTACACAGTGTTACTGGAACACTTCAAAGCGGCGCGAAAGCACCTTGAATTTGTGGAATTAATACCTGGAGAGTACGCTCTGAAGTTAATATGAAGATATGAGAACAAAACAACACACAAAGGAAAAATAAATCAGGAAATAAATGTTACTACAAATCTAATTAACTGGTTCCATTGTGCATTAAACACCACTGTACTGTAAGTGTGTGTGTTGGAGAGACTGTGTTCATGTTAATTAGAGCAGTTATGCATATTTCTTTCACGATATGAACAACTTCACAAAAAAGTGTAACACCATATTTGAATAATTCAGGGTACATATATTTGATTATACCATATGATTAGAAGTTAGTCACAACTTGTTAATGTGTCTAACGTACTGTATTAATATGGTATTATAAGGATAATCTTTGTATATGTTTACATTTGTGCACTTTCAATGCAGATATACTTGGCTGAAAACGACCGATTACTAAGTCTAAAAATGTAAAAAAGAGGACTTGTAGATGAAGGTTACAATCAATATGGATATTGCATGCTTGAACCCAGGTTTCATACTAGTAACAGAACATCACACACACACACAAATTGACTCCAATCATTATAAACAAAGTAACACCTGTCTCTATATCCAAAACCACACATTTCAATCCATTATGCCAGTAAGTAGAGCACTGTGTGTGTGTGTGTGTGGGTGTGTGTGTGTGTTTGTTTGTGTGTACCTATTATCACAGATGAGAGTGGAGTAATTTGACTAAAATGCAACAATACAGTGCAGATTTGAAATAATCCCTCACATCCACCCAACTGGTCGGTGTGCGGGGGGGGGGGGGCAATCTGGATGTAACTTTCTAATCACAGCCTCTGACCTTTCCTCATGCAAAACCCTCTGATCCCAGGGGAACGAGAGGTGCACGTCACTGAATGTTCCTCTCTGCATCCATGGCCATACCTCAGTAACAAAACAGGACTTAGCATTTCAAGCTCTCACCAACACCAGGATGTGTGTACGTCTGTGAGAGGGTTGTTATTCTTTTAAGGTTGACAGAGGCGCAAAGTTTATTTTACTTGAAAGGTGAGAGGTTTGTGTTTGTTTGATTTTGCCACAGATATCGGTTCACGGGAAAAGTGAGTGGTAAGGAAAACAAGGAAGTGAGCTAGTTGGGTGGAGGCAACAGCCAAAACACACACACACACACACGCAGACAAAGACACACACACTGAGGGTAAGGGAAGGACATCGTGTCGTTCAGAGGGCAACAGTTAAATAACAAAAAGGAGCCATGGTCATTGCTGATGAACATTTTTAACATGGTGAAATCATATATAAAGTTACATATGTCAAATAAAATAACCCTGCCAACAGCTACGTATTAGTCTATAGATCACTCAGAGAACAAACTACTGTTTAAATAATGTGTCATACACAGGTATCTTTGAGGGAGGACGGATGGGAGTTGTGAATGTCAACAGACGCATAAATGTAAAAATAGAAATATGTAAAATTCACCAATCTAGGAGGAAAGAAAAATAAAGTTTTGAATCTGAATTTGTTCTGAATATATTTAAAGGGGAAAAAATAGCTAATATCCCTTAATGTTTCTAATTGTATCCACTGTTAATGTTTATTTAAACATTATTATATAGTTTGATCAACCTGACATTATATTAGGTTTAAATGTTTAAAAATAAATGCATCTGAATCCCTAAACTCCAATTTTAATAGAGTTTTTTTAGTTGTCTGAGATACAGGTTTTGATTTCCTTTGACTATTTTTAAAGCTTGTTAATTCTGCTAAACATCACTTGTATTAATATGAG